CACTGGCCCAAATTGAATGTCCCTCACGCCCTGCCGACGGTGTAGGATCCAAGATATTGAAACTGGTCTTCGCACTGGTATCCTACGCCTCGAGTCCCTGAGAATAGATCCGCATACAAGCATTGTAGGGCCTATCACCTAGTCGCTGGTTTCATACAACTTGGGTAAACCCACAACTCGGATTTGCACATGCACGGCCTTTCGGGACACAAGCGAAAGGAGCCCAGCCTCGTCGCCCCTGAAGCACGTACGCTCTTCGGAACAAAACAAACTGCGTATGGTGCGCGTGCGACAACACCTGCACCACTCTGCGCCGGGTGTTGCCGCTTTCGTGCGCTATCTCCTCACGATGGCATGTTCTGCGGCAACACATGGGGCCCTTCCATGCCATCTTGCTGGCTCTTGCAAACCGGCGCCAATCGACACTAATCGACGCTGAATCGACGCTGCATCGACGCTAATCGACGCTAGCGCACGCTAAATGTGGAATTGCGAGGGGATACAAAATTCCCATGTTTGGCTACCGAAGATGTGCATGCGCCGGCGGCTGCACCCCTCTGCGCTGGGTGGTGCTTCTTTCGTGCGGCATCTCCTCAGGGTGGCAGGGACAGGGCTCGCCCTAAACGTTATGTCGTCGATTTCGTGAGCCGATTTCGTGTTGATCTCGTTTTGCAGCAAAAGCGGAGGGTTGACAAAACGAGGAACAGCGAAAACCAAACGAACATAACAAATACTGTGTCGGTCGATCCCTGTCATGGGACGCGACGCGTGCACACCTCTGGTAATTATTTCCTGCCTTCTCCGAAGGCAATCCCTGCTACGTCGCTGGCTCAGCCTGCGGCGAAAAGAGACGCTGCGCACAGTCGGAAACGGGCGTCGTTCGTGACAGCGCCGTCCTGCAGCCCCTAAGGAAGGAGCGTCTAGTGTGAAGAAGGTGCGCATCATTGGCACTGTTCACACGCTGACGCTGGGGTGGGCAGATGAGCCGGAGACGGACAGGACTTGGGGTGCCCTCAAATTGGGCATGCTCTGAAGTCCGTAACCAAAAACATGTGAAACGTGCGTCTCGTATCTTCCAACACGTTTGCATGCGAAGAGTCTCCCGCGTTGTGAAGATGTCGGCAAAGTACAGGTTATCAGCCGAAAGACTCTCCCGAGTTCGATTTCGGCATGGCGCGAGTGCTCAGCACGCCAGAGCTGGATTCTGGCGGATCTCTCGAGTGATCGTTGATGAATTATTATGTCGTTGTTGTGGCCGTTCGTGAGATCAGCAGCAGCGCCGTGGAGACGCCGCACCAGCAGCAGCGCAGCCGCAGCAACCCCAGCCACAGCCGCAGGCCGCCGCAGCAGCGCAGCCGCAGCAGTCAGCAGTCCTATCCAGCTTGTTCGGCCGCATCGAAAAAGCAAAGGCGTCGCAGGTGCGTCCTGACAGACAGAAGAGTAACAATGGTCGCCACAGAAAGGGGGGTCGCAGGTGCATTCTGTCCGTAGTACGAAGGATCCCAAAAGCGCCTAACTACAAGGCTTAGGTGGGTCACACCCCTGGGCCGTGGTAGGTGCCCGCTGTGACAGCCGGGTGAGGCCGCAAAGTCACGAAAGAGGGGCGAGTTGTTTCCTCCCTTCTCCGAAGGCAATCCCTGCTACGTCGCTGGCTCAGCCTGCGGTGAAAGCAGACGCTGCGCACAGTCGGAAACGGGCGCAGTTTGTGACAGCGCCGTCTTGCAGCCCTTAAGGAAGGAGCGTCTAGTGTGAAGAAGGTGCGCATCATTGGCACTGTTCACACGCTGACGCTGGGGTGGACAGGTGAGCCTGAGACGGACAGGACCAGGGGTGCCCTCAAATTGAGAATTGTGCGTCTTGTATCTTGCAACACGTTTATAGGCAAAGAAATTACCGTGTTGTGGAGATGTTGGCAAACTACACTGGTCCACGGTGCCTTCTCGCGTGGCCACTGCAGTTTCACCTCCGCTTCGCCGCTGGGACCTGCGTGACAACAAACGTGTCGAGTGCGGCTATTTCATTACATGTGTGGGTATGCGCGTGTGGTTTACGCGGCGTCTGCGATAGTGTATGCACGTGTCCGTCTAACGTGCCTGCGCGTGAATTTGGTGGGAATAACCCCTCGGCACACCAAGGAAGCATGAACACCACCCTTCAGGCAAACACAAGAAAACGTCAATTCGCACAGGGGGGACTGAACACTGGGAGACGCCATGGCAGCTGAGATCTTTGCACACAGCTGCGAAACAGGCTGACACAGAAAAAGGAAGGTCAAGGCATGGAGGCGGGCCAAAGGATCCAGGGCATACGGCACGAACCGCCCGCAGATCCCGATGAAGATGGCTACAACTACGACTCCCCAATGCCAAATCAAAAACAACTCTCCGTGCGGTCCTCGCTGCCCACGATGGACACGGAACCCCGACTGCGGAGTCTCAACGTGCAGCGCTTCGAGCGTAACCACGCTGCCTCGCTCGGACGCGGAACTCCCACGCCAGGGGACTGGAGAGGGGCCAAGTGGTGACTACATGGATCCACGAGCTTCGCAATACACATATCAGACACACAGACACACCGACACAAACACTGACACACATACAGACAGACAGACAGACAGGCAGACAGACAGACAGACGGACGGACAGACAGACGGACGGTCGGACAGACAGACAGACAGACACAAAGACAGACAGACGACAGACACACAGGCAGAAGACCCACTCGAACATGCACGATGACAGACAGACAGACAGACAAACAGACAGACATACACACACAGACACTCACACACACACACACACACACCAAAGCAAAACAAAAAAAAAAACGGCACGGATTTGCGAAAGGAGGCCACATGCCCCAGGAGTCTGCGAAAAAGGCTAAGGAACGCCTTGCTAGATGACGAGAGCATTCACTGGTGGACGGCATGCAGCGCGAACAGAAACGGAGCGCGCATTGCCGTCTCGGCTACTTGCGCCAGGCAACCGGCTGGTTCAAATGGGGAGGGAGCTGAGCGAGGAGGCGACATCGGCGAGCGACGGGGGCAACGCCGCCGGCATAGAGAAGGCCAACGACAGAGCGCGCGAGCCTCGACAGCGACGTGCGAGAAGGATGGAGACCAGTCCGTCCCACTGCCTGCATGGGAGCGCAGCACGCCGCGCACAGAACCAGGTGTCAGGGGCTGCGCAGCACGGCGGGACGCGGCGGAACGAGGGCAGAGGCGGGGAGGCGCACGGCGGTGGAGAGAGGCGTGGCCCCGGCGCGCGCACGCACGAACGCACTCTTGGCCGCCCGAGGGCGGGCGCCACGCCACGCCGTCCAAGGAAGCCGCCGGCGCGCACGCGCCAGGCGAAGGCAGAGGCCCCTCACGGGGCAGCTGCGGGCGGCGGCGGGCCGGGAGGCGGCAGCCCGCGGGGGGAGGGCGCCCGGGCGCGGGCGGGGCAGCGGGGGCAGGCGCCGGGCGAGCCAGCAGGGCGGCGGAGGGGGCGGGGAGCGAAGCGGCGCCAAAGTTACAGCCGACCCGGGCAAGAAGGACGCAGGACAAGGATGCCAGGGCCTCGGAAGGCCATGTCGACACTTTGCGAGCGGGGGACGGCCAGCGAAAGCGGCCAAGGATGGGCCGAAGAAGAAGGATGCAAGGGTAACCTTGGAATGTCGCTCATCCTTACTATGTGGGTTGACTGTAGGCGGGCCAGGGGCGACACATGGCGACACACACACACATACACGCACGCACGCACGCACGCACGCACGCACGCACACACACACACACACACACACACACACACACACACACACACGCACACGCACACGCACACGCACACGCACACACACACACACACACACACACACACACGCACGCACACGCACACGCACGTGAACGTGTTTTTATTCGGGGGTTTCGACATTGGGCGGAAGGGGAGGGGAGGGGGGGGGTCTGGCTCTGGACCTCTGCTTAGTGCGACTGTTTGAACCGTGCGTCCCATGGGGAAACCTCAACCTGCTCGAAACAGGCGCCAAAAAACATCCAAGGTCTACTCCATGGGGGGGCAGGGGGGGTTGGGGGCCCGTGCCGATCGGCAAAGCAAGGGATAACAAAACGATCACCACACACACACGCGCACGCGTTTGCTTCTGGGGCGGCCAGGCGCAAGGCGACTCCGGCGGGGTCCCCCCCGCGCGCGGCCGAGCGCGGAAGACCCACGGGATCAGAGCGGAGCGCCCAGCTCGGAGGCAGCACAGCACCGGAGTGCCGCGTGTTCCGCCGCCCCCCCACCGCACCCCCCTACTCTGACGACCTACCAGACCACCTAAACCCAACCCGAAAGTTTCGAGTTGGAAGGGGGTACGGGTTCGACATTTGCTTTTTTCGATGTTCCCCGACGCCCACCCCACTGGGAATGAAGGCAAATTGGGGCACTCGGGTTGGGTTGGGGTGGTTTGGTGGATGGTGACCCTCCCTCCTCCGGAGACCCTTCAATTTTTGTCACCAGCGCCGTCAAAATTGTTGCAGACATGTGTGAAAGCCAGTTATCAGAAGACGCGACAGATTCCTGGACTTCAAGTGGGCATGACTTGCCAGGGAAAGCAAGACTTCGCCCCATCCGATGCTTTGCCTCATGGGACGGGGCCCTTCCTAAACGATAGGAACACTATTTACAAGGCCTTAGACAACCCCCAAGCCGCGCCCAGCAAAGCCCATGGAACAAATTCGATGGGAGTTGTTGGGGGGGAAGGGGGGCAAGCCACCATGATCATGATCCTGGTAGTCATATCCTCCTCATCTCTCATGCTCGCCATATTCTTCATGTTCCTCCGCTTCTTCCTCCTCCTCCCTCCCCATCCTTCACCCTCCGTCCTCCCTCGTACTCCAGATACTCCAACTACTCCCTGGAGCCCGACCAAGACGCCGGGGCGCCCTGCCAAACCCCGACCATCAGCCGAGCTCTCCTGGTTTCCGCCAGAACCCCGCCAGGGCCCGCGCAAGAAACAGGACGCCGTGCCAGGGGCACCCAGCTCCGGGAGGAGGAAGGACCCCGCAGAGAGCCCCAGGATGGACCGAGAATGGCTCGAGGCTGGCTCAGGGGCGAGGGCCCGAATACTCCGGGCATTGTTCGAAGGACCAGAGGGCCAGAACCCCGATGCATTACATCAATGAGGAGGGTCCCTGAGGAGGGTGGTGGAAGCAGCTGCGGTTCAAAATTCGAAGGATGTCTGCAGCCAGCAGCGGGATTGTCTGATGACCTGGCGTCGGGTGAACCCGCAGGGGTAGGTTTCGCAGTGGGCGTAGAATGGGCAGGCAGCAGTCTCGGCGAACGACGCCCAGCCCAGCCCCTGGGTGTCAGGTGAACCAACATGCTGCCACACGTGTGATCTGCCCTTGGGGAATAGAGTCTACACACCCTGGTGTAGCACAACGCGTGGTGTTCGAACTCAACCATGATCACACAACTCGAAGCGCTAAGCCGGGACACGCATGCAGAATCAAACCCGCAGCGGGCAGACCACGCACCAACGCTTTTCTGTGGCGCGCCGTTGCAATGCAACCGACAGTACTCGACCTACCAAGACGGGATGCGTGCGAGGTGTGCGCTCGCCCCGACACAACTGGGCCAGTTGTGTGGGGGCGAGCGCACACAAAAACAACGCCCACGCTTGGTGCGGAATTGTTGTAGGCGACGTTCTGATAGCTCCTGCGAAGCTCATGCACCTTGCTCCCCCCGACGAGACTTCGGTCGAGGCGTCGGTTGCACAATGCTGGTCGCGCTTACACTTGGAAGAACGCAGCTGACTAGACTGTAGCAGAGCGCGGGGGAAAGCGAATGCTCCAAGGCCAATATCCAGAGCCGACAAGCGGGAGAGACACGATGCAGGCCAAGGGCTGAGAAAGCCTCCCAGCCCAGGGTTCTAGCCTGCTGCCCGCCCTGGAACCCTCACGTTTACTACAATCTCTCCTCGCTTCACTCCGCTTCACTTCCAGACATACACTGAGCGAAACACGTCCAGTGCACGCTTGGCAGGCTGAGGTTAAAAAACACTGGTGCCCAGACTCTCTTAGGACGGGCCCGCGAATGACCCACCCACTGGTCTGTCTAGCGGATCAGGATGATCACGCGCCTGCTCGGCGCCCTGATAACTCTCACTCCTCCTCCTCCTCCTCCTCCTCCTCCTCCTCCTCCTGCTCCTCCCCCTCCTCCTCCCCCTCATCCTCCTGCTCCTCCTCCCCCTCCCCCTCCTCATCCTCCTCCTCCTCCTCCTCCTCCTCCTCCTCCGCCTCCTCCTCCTCCGCCTCCTCCGCCTCCTCCTCCACCTCCTCCTCCTCCTTCTCCTCCACCCTCTTGGGAAAGCTCCAGGGCCTTCCGGAGTCTCCGCAAGAGATTCCAGCTGAGGCTCGATATAAGTGCCAGACACGCACACACAAGCAAAATAAAAAAAGCGGGAGCAGCATCTGGGATCTTCCTGCTCGTCCTGCTTCTCTCCCCTCGTCCTCATCCTCTCCCTACTGGTCCCCCCTTGCGCGCCCCCATGGCTGGCCTCGATGCTGGCGGAGGCAACGCCGTCCAATCTCAGCGCCAGCCAACCTCGGAGGCACTTCGAGCACGGCAGGCAAACCGGGCGGACGAACCGGGCCACGAGACCCTTAGATCCGACGCTGCAAACAAAAGCTCACATCGGATTTCTGCGTCATATTTCGAGCCGGATCGATCTGCGATGGTCCCAGGGCCCGAAGCCGGGCGAAAACGCCCGTCGACAAGAGATGGCAACGCCAGAAACTCCGAGGAGTCTGGCACGCAGGCTCGCCGGCACGGGTGACCAAAATGGGGAGTGAAGCAAGGGGCCCTGAAGGGACCCGTTCGGACCCCTTTGGAGCTCATGCTTGCTCCAAAGGGGGCCCCCAAAGGCCCCTTTAAGGCAGTTTTCTTCACCCCCATTTAGGTCACATACGGCCGGACCTAGGACAGAAGAAGATCCTTCATGACATGAAACCCTCCTCCGGCCAAAACACACAGAACATGCAGGTGCCCTCCCCCAGGATGCACAAGAACATCCAACAAGCACGATGAACTTTAGGGTACCCTCGCCGAACCGACATACCACCCGCACGATGATCGAGGACCTCTCTGGGCATCCGCAGGCCTCGCGGGACCTCTGCCTCGGCCCTCCGAGGAACTTCGGAGGGAGTGAGAAGGATAAGGCCATTCTCACAAGGCGGCGGGGCTTCCAAAAAGCCCTCGCGCCTCCTGGGAAGGCTCCGAAAACTCCTCGGAAGGCCCGAGGGCTTCCGAAACTTCTGAGAAGGGCCGCGCCGTGGCACTTCCCCCTGGGCTCGCCGCAAAAATCCAAGTCCGCTATGACATGCGTCGGCGGATCGAGGAAAAAACCGCGCAGAGGGAAGGGGTGTGTGGGAGATGCAGGACGTCAGATATGGCGCGAGCGCGCCTGGCTTGTCCCCTCACCCCTCCTCCGCCTGCCTCATCCCCTCCCCCCCATCGCCTTCCTCTGAGGACTCCCCGCAAACCCCGCGGTGACGTCCGGCCCTGACAAACACCACCCGACACCAGACCGGAGGGGCGGGGGAGGGGCGGCAGCTGCAACCCCTCAGTCGGCATCGCGGCGTGCCATGACACCCTGGCCCTGCTCAGGGTCCCACTCCCCTCGCCCGCGGCCCCCCCCTCCCTCGGAGGAGAGCCCCGCCGCCCGAGAAGCCGCGACAAGGCTCGGCGAAGCCGAAGCCGCTTCTGCAAGCCCGAGCCCAGGCACGTCCGACAGCGGGCACCCGATCCTTCGTGCACGTGCTCAGAATAGAAAGGGGGCACTCAGAGCACTGGGTAGGAGGATTCTGCTGGATTTTGCTGGACTGATCAACTCCACATTGCGCGCTGACATGGAGCCGACGGAAGAAGGCGTTCACCACCCCCGAGGCCTATCCTGGGCGACATGGGGCGGCCTCCGAAAAGTCGACCTATGCGCACCAAACTTCAGCTACGCGCATCCTCGTCCAGCCTGGTCCCTTTCGCAGGGGAGTCATCGGGCAGGCCTGGCTCTGCCTGACCCACTTCCACCCTGGTCCCCGCCTTGCGGGGGGGGGGCTCTGGGGTGGGCCTGGCTCGGCTTCACCCTGGGACGAAAAGAAAGGAGAGGAGGAAGGAGGAGGGAGGAGGAGGGAGGAGGAGGAGGGAGAAGGGAGGAGGAGGAAGAGGGAGGAGGAGGGAGGGAGGGAGGAGGAAGAGGGAGAGGAGGGAGGAGGAGGGGAGGAGGAGGGAGGTGTGAGGAGGGGAACGAAGAAGAAGAAGAAAAAGAAGAAAAACAAGAGGAGGAGGAGGAGGAGGAGGAGGAGGAGGAGGAGGGAGGAGGGAGGAGGGAGGAGGGAGGAGGGAGGAGAGGGGCTGGCGGCGGCGGCCTTCCGCCGCGGCGGCGTGCCACAGCAGGCGGTGGGAGGTGATGCGCACCTGGGTGCCTACCCGTCCACGAGGCAGCGCGCGCAGAGGAGAGGAGAGGGGGGAGGTCTTAGACGAACGTGTTCCACTACTCGCAAAGTTCCAACTCGCAGATGGCCGGGATCCGCCGCGGGGGATCTACGATAGATCACATCAGAACAGGCGTGCTTTTCGAGCGTTTGCGAGTGGGCACTTTGCGGGTAGTGGAACGCGCTCTCGGGGAGGTGGGAAGGACAAAGGGACGCAGTACGCAGCATAGAACGAGTCGCGAGCCCGCCAGAGCGATACGCAGGTGAGCCTCAAAGGAGGCTCCAGGACCTACTCAAAGGCGGAGCGGCGGAGCGGAGGAAGGCCTTCAATGCGTAAAGCTTGGTGGTACGGTGTGCTAAAAGCATGCACCGTCCTCTTGGTGGTGCCAAGTGCCGAGTGCACCGGCTGGGGGCGGAAAAAGGGCTCGGGGTGAAGAGAAGATCGGTCGGACTCGGCATCGCCGCAGTCTGCTCGCCGTCTTGCCGAAGGCTCTCGCTCCCAGAACCTGTTTCGACCGCCACCCTCCCCAGCGAAGGGAAGCCCGGCCCTGAGTCCCAGGCGGCCCAGCGCACAGAAGCGAGAGGGCGGCGGACGGCGCGCAGCGCAAGGGAAGAAACGACAAAGCGGAGAAAAGGGGAACTATGCAGTCGGCCTGGGGAGGATGTGTAATTAAGAAGACGGCCTCAGGAGGGCAGGTGCCAGCTGGCCTTGAGGGGTGGAGAGGGGGTCAGGAGGTACACAAATACACTGACACAAATAATCGGCGACTCCCAGGAGCAAATAATCGGCGACTCCCAGGAACCGACCTTCAGCTTCGCCCTGCCCTGGACGACATCCCAAGGTCGTAGCACGGGACCTCTAGACCCGTCGAGTCGCGCGTTCCGCGCCGCACTCCCCAATGCGTGCATGCGAGTCGCCTGAATTTCGTGGGTGTTCTCCGCGCCCCCGTACCGGTCACAGCCGAAATCATAGGCTGCCTTCCGCCAGACCTCTCGGTCCGCAGTGACGGCCCCGTCGATTGTGAGGGTGGACGGTGTTCGGCAAGGAGTCCTCTCCAAACTTATCGTTTTCAGGCGGATGTTGTTCTTCGTGCATCTGGCCTTGCGGATGGCCCGCCGCAGCTCCTGGACTAAATGCCGTTTGGTGTCAGGACTTGCCACTGCCACTGCCCGCCTTGCCGCCTTGACCGGGCTATTTGACTCTAGCCGTCGCTGTCGTAGCCTACCCCGTGCCGTAGTAAACTGGACGCTCAAAGCTGAATCCAATACCGACGTCTGCAACGAAGACAAGTCCCCTCCCATGCTATTCACACACATGGTTCGATAAACAGCAAGGTCATCAGGAGAAGAAGGTGCCCATCCAGTTATCGAGGCTGGCCTCAGTACCTGGACGCTACCCCGGATTGGACAAGACAGCTGGGCGAACACAGGTCGATGATCCGAGCGATTGAACAGCTTGTGCGGTACTTTCTGCGCCCAGGACTCCCCAAGGATGCCCGCGGACACTCCAATATAATCAATCTGGGATCTTGTTCTGGAGCTTCTGGTCATAGAATGTGTCCAAACACGTTTTTCCGAAATAGTGCCGTCATCTTGTACGCGGGTGTTGCGAAACGTGTTCAACAGCCGGACCCCCAAAGACTCCAACCAGGCAGCGACAACGAATACCTTCGCTGGAGAGTGGTTCTGCCGCTTCTCCAAAACGGCATCCCCGGTCAGCGACTCGTAGAAGGCTGGGAACTGTACATTAGCGTCCACTCCCAAGACAACCTCGAACTCGACGGACGAATAAGCTAATCGAATTCTCTGGACAAAGCGGGCAGTTTCGTCAAAAACCCGCTGCGCCCGCCCATCTTCCTCAAGATGGTCTAATACGTGCACAGATAAGTATATGATGTTCGATACTACTGCCCCAAACCAGTATGCACCGGAGTCGATATCCCTGAGCGCCCGCATCCCGGATCTAGGAATAATAAGGGCACAGTCACTAGACTCGGCGCTAAGTACCGCATGGCCGGAGTAGGTGAAACCGTCTAGATCGCCCCATGTGGGTACCTCCTGCAAGAGTCCAACAACATCCCCAGTAAAGTTCCGAAGCTCTTTACATATCTTCTTTGCTGTAGACTTCCCCTTCTTGCAAGTGTTCCAACTGAGGACGGTGAAACTAATGGACTCGCCCTCGGAAGGTAATCACGCAGACCGGAAGCCCCGGTACTCCGCATCAAAAGCCTCCAGAGATTGCCCAAAACTTGCCATGACGGGCCCTCGGGCCCATTGAATCTTGGCTTTGTCGTCGACGGCGCCCATGAACTGCTCCCCCGAGGCTGTCTGGACTGCGAGCTGGAACTCAGGCGGGCCCGAATGTTTCACGACTGACGCGGCGTCGAACTGCTTGGATTTCTTCTCGAGGAACGCCCTGGCCCGACCCCCGGCCTCAAAACGCTTCTGTTCCCGAGGCTCCTTTTGCACCGTCGTGAACAAGCTCTTGCCGTTGTGCTGAAACTCCTCGTCGTAGAGAGCCTCCCGGACTAAGACAGCAACCTCGGTGGCGTGAGGAGGCTGAACGTGTACCATAAACTTGTGAACACGGGATCCACGAAGCTCGATTCCGCTGATAGTCCCACGAAGGGCTTCTGGAAGACGACCCTTCAACCTCTCGATCATGTTGTTGGCCTGGGGACGCGAAATCCCAGCAGACATCCGGTCCTTCCACTCACAGAACCCGCGGATGTCGAAGAACGTGGGTACGAAGCTCGCAGAACTCCCGAGACCCTCGATCTTCTCTTCGAGCTGCTTCAGCCGATCGTCGTGATTCTCGAGTTTGTCGTCGATGCGTTTGATGTTCGCATTGATCGGTGCGAGGTTCTCTTCAAACTTCTTGTCCAGCAGTGCACTCATAGAATCGAGAGTCAAAGCCATCTTACTTCGAACGTGTAGGGGTTCACAAAAACAGTGTTTACTGTACCAGACCCCTTGACTTTCCTCCTGACTTCCTCCTGACTTTCCTCCTTACTGTACCAGACCCCCTTGACTTTCCTCCCCCTCCTCCACCTCCCCTTCCTCCGCGTCCTCATCTTCCTCCTCCTCCTCCGCCGCCGCCGCCGCCTTCGCCTCCGCCTCCGCTTCTGCCTCCTCCCGATTGGGGGGACGGGGCTGTGGAGCGAGAGCTGGATGGAAGAAAGGGACGAGCGGAAGTGAAGGGGCCCAGGGACACGCAAACAATGGATACAGATCCCAGGATGTCCTCATAGTTCCCATGTTTCCTGAATGTTCGTCTTCCCCTCCACTTTCCATATATCCCATATTTCCCCGGGGAATCGACGATTAGTTGTGTCTGTGCATTTTCCCCTCCTGAGTAGAGGCTGCTCCGAGACAACACTCACAGCACTCTGCGTGCCCTCCTACAGTCATCGGCTTCGCCCGCATGCCTGGGGGCCTGGGGCTGACACCTCCTTTCGGGGGGGGGGGGGGGGGGCAGGGGGAGGGAGGCAGAGAAGAAGGATAGGGAGTCTGAGCTTTCTGGGGGAGCCTCCTGGATCACGCAGGCGGTTCGAGCACCCGTCGGCCCGGGCCATCCCTGGAGAGACCAAGTGCAGTCAAACAAGGGCTCTACACATGTAAGTGATATTGTGGCAGCAGTGTTGGCAAACGTTGGGGGCAATCCTGCAAGGATGTTTCTGGCCCCCGTAGTCCTAATGATCCGTTCCCTCATCCCTCCTCCTCACATCATCATCCTTGTATGTCTCTTCTCCCGCCTCCAACTCCGCCTCTTTCTTCGATGGTGCCTCAACTCATCCTTCTACTCTACCTCCCCCTAGTCGTCATCCTCCTCCCCCCGTTGCTCCCTCCCTCGTTCCAACCCGCGCTTGCCACGCTGCGACCCCGCAATCGCCCTCGAAAGTCTGCTGTCCTTGCTGAACATCGTGCTCTGAAAAAAAGGGGTGCAGTAGGGGCCGGCTCCAGCATGTGACCGCGAGGTCGGGTTCCACACACCACTTCTACAGACGGCACCCGTCTACCAAAAGGAGGAATGGGAGAGGAGGGCCGTGAAGCCAACCTGTGCCAAAGGCGCAGGCGACATCCAGTGTGAACTTTGCACCGTCGATCGCTGCACATGCAGTTTAGACAAGCTGTTGTATTACCTCGTCGCACTACGTATGCTTAGTATGGCATAACCTTCAACGAAGTTGAGCGACCAGCATGACAACTCCAGCTGGGAAAGGCAAGCGCGACAATTACATCGATGCCGAGTGTGATCCCTCCACCGAAATAGAAAGGGAAGGAAGAAATGAGTGGATGGGAGGGAGGGATACGAAAAAACAAAGGTACACTCAAATCTATGATATATATATAATCAAATAAACGAAAGTGCATCGATGAAAGAAACGCGCATGCATATACATGTATATATGTATATATGTGTATATATACATATATATACATATCGGAGGGGGTGAGGTCGCAGCGGGACGGATACCCCCAACCAAGACATCGGTTCGTTTCGTTCGTGTCGCGCGTGCGGGCGAAGCGAGGCTGCGTGGGCGCACGAGAGGAATGAACCCGCCGTTGCTAGAGCGAAGTCAAGAGGAACCAGAAAAAAACACGCAAAGGAAGTTCACACAAACGGTTTTGGCACCACCAACGGTGAAACGCATGTGCACCCATGCCACTGGATCCTAGGCGATCCAAACCAGGGGTGATGCGCGGCCCTGTTTTAAGATACAATTGAAAAGGTATGGTGTGGCAGCGCTGTCGGCGGCGACAAGATCCCAAACTCTGTTACAAACTGAGATTCCATGGTGGTTTGGCACTGCCAAACCACAATGCAACGTCAGTTTGTTCATCCGTTGACAGCAGCACACGTCGCGCGGGCATGCGGGGCCGGCGATGTGGGTGGCAATCAGCCAGCGCGATTTCTTTATAAATCGCCGAAATCCAAGTAGTATCGTTTTGGGTGCGGTATCCAGCGCAGCTGCATCGCACTGCCAGGCGCCGCGGCCTTTCGCTTGTAGCGCTGGGCCCCGTGCGTTCCTTCAGGCGGGAAAACAAGCTCTACGCAAAGGAATCGCGCGTGCTCTTGTGGGGCGGGCGAAAAAGATCGTACACAAAGGAAATTCCCTTGTGTGCCCCCCGCGTTGGCAATCGAACCAGACCGCACACAAAGGAATTACACGAGACCTCGTGGCGCACAAAGGAATTGCAGCAACGCCCTTTGGGTTGCGATTTTCGCGCGCGGCGGCGGCTCCGAGCTGGAAAGGAAGGGGGGGCGGGACAAGGCGAAGCAAGGGAAAAGGAAAAGGAAGAGGAGGGCAATGGAAGGAAGCCAGGATGCACGCAAGCGAAGCCAACGCTGCGCGCCGAAACAGTTGTTCGTTCGTTCCGTTGGCCGTGCGGCATATGAATTGGAAAAAGAGCTAGCTGCTGCCTATCGGGCTATCTTGGGAAGGAGTCTCGCGCTATCTTCCCAACCCCCTTTCCCACGCCCCATTGCGAGAGCGCGACGATCTGTTCTGGCACGCGGGCGGAGGACTGCCAGTTACAGGCGAACGGCTTTCCCACCCGTCACGCACTCCAAACAAACGCGTTCAGTTAAGCGCACTTTCCGCACAAACCGCCAGCTCCAAACGCCGACGCCACACCGATCCCCACATCCGTGCCAGGCACCCCGTCAACGACGCCCCCTTCCGGCGTAAAACCAATAAACCCTTTGTGTTTATGCGTTTTTTCCAGTTCTGAATCAAAACAAATGATTCCCCTCCGTCCGTCCGTCTGGCGGTGGCACTAGCGGTGTCCCGCGGTGTCCCGTAGTGTCCCGTGGTGTCCGCCGCTGCTAGGGCGAAGTCAAGACAAATGATTCTCCCCCGTCCGTCCGTCCGGGGGTGGCTCGCGGTGTCCCGCGGTGTCCCGTGGTGTCCCGTGCCGTTCTGTGGTGTCCGCCGCTGCTAGGGCGAAGTCAAGACAAATGATTCTCCCCCGTCCGTCCGTCCGTCCGTCAGGCGGTGGCTCGCGGTGGCTCGCGGTGTCCCGCGGTGTCCCGTGGTGTCCGCCGCTGCTAGGGCGAAGTCAAGACAAATGATTCTCCCCCGTCCGTCCGTCCGGGGGTGGCTCGCGGTGTCCCGCGGTGTCCCGTGGTGTCCCGTGCCGCTCTGTGGTGTCCGCCGCTGCTAGGGCGAAACAAGACAAATGACTCTCCCCCGTCCATCCGTCCGTCCGGGGGTGGCTCGCGGTGTCCCGCGGTGTCCCGTGGTGTCCCGTGGTGTCCCGTGGTGTCCGGTGTCCCAAGGTGTCCCGTGGTGTCCCGTGGTGTCCCGTGGTGTCCCGTTGAGTGAGGTCGATAGTGAGATCGATAGTGAGATCGATTCTGAGATCGATGTGGTGCCCCGAGGTGTCCCGTGGAGTCCCAAAAAGTGAGATCGATAGTGAGATCGATAGTGAGATCGACAGGTGTCCTGTGGTATCCCATGGTGTCGCGTTGAGTGAGATCGATAGTGAGATCGACAGTGGTATCGATACTGAGATCGATGTGGTGCCCCGAGGTGTCCCGTGGTGTCCTCTGGTGTCCCGTGGAGTGAGATCGATAGTGAGATCGATAATGAGATCGATAGTGAGACCGAGAGGTGTCCCGCGGTGTCCCGTCGTGTCCCGTGGTGTCCCGTTGAGTGAGGTCGATAGTGAGATCGATAGTGAGATCGACAAGTGTCCCGCGGTGTCTTGTGGTGTCCCACGGTGTCCCGTGGTGTCCCGTGGAGTGAGATCGATAGTGAGATCGATAGTGAGATCGATACTGGGATCGATGTTGTGTCCCGGGGTGTCCCGTGGTGGCCCGTGGTGTCCCAAATTATCCCAATGCGACCCTACCTAGGAGTTGGAACCCCTAGGAAAGCAGCATTAGTAGTAACAGTAACGCTAAGCTAAAGCTAAGCTAAAGCTAAGTTAAAGCTAAGCTAAAGCTAAGCTAAAGCTAAGCTGCAGCTAAGCTAGAGCTAAGCTAAAGCTAAGCTAAAGCTAAACTAAAGCTAAGCTAAAGCTAAGCTAAAGCTTAGCTAAAGCTAAGCTAAAGCTAAGCTAAAGCTAAGCTACATATAAGCTAGAGCTAAGCTAAAGCTAAGCTGCAGCTAAGCTAAATATGAGCAACAGCTAAGCTAAAGCTAAGCTACAGCTAAGCTAAAGCTAAGCTAAAGCTAAGCTAAAGCTAAGCTAAATCTAAGCTAAAGCTAAGCTAAAGCTAAAGCTAAGCTAAAGCTAAGCTAAAGCTAAGCTAAAGCTAAGCTAAAGCTAAGCTAAAGCTAAACGCTAAGCGAAAAGCTAAGCGAAACGCTAAGCGAAACGCTAAGCTAAAGCTAAGCTACAGCTAAGCTAAAGCTAAGCTAAAGCTAAGCTAAAGCTAAAGCCAAAGCTAAAGCTCCCAAGGGACTGGGGGGAACCGCGGGGCGGGGACTGGGGGAACCGCCCGGGGCGCTTTGCACTGCCCGGCCCCTTTAAGCTAAGAGATTAAGAACCCTTCTAGGCAGAGCCTAGGTAGGGAAAAATGCGGTCGACAGTGAGATCGATAACGAGACCGACAGGTGTCCCGTGGTGTCCCGTGGTGTCCCGTTGAGTGAGGTCGATAGTGAGATAGATAATGAGATCGATGTGGTGTCCCGAGATGTCCCGTGGTGTCCCGTGGTGTCCTATAGTGTCCCGTGGAGTGAGATCGATAGTGAGATCGACAATGAGACCGATAATGAGATCGAGAGGTGTTCCGCGGTGTCCCGTGGTGTCCCGTGGTGGCCCGTGGTGTCCCGTTTAGTGAGACCGATAGTGAGATCGATAGGGAGATCGATACTGAGATCGATGTGGCGCCACGAGGTGTCCCGTGGTGTCCCGCGGTGTCCCGTTGAGTGAGGTCGATAATGAGATCGATAATGAGATCGACAGGTGTCCCGCGGTGTCCCGTGGTGGCCCGTCGTGTCCCGTGATGTCCTGTTGAGTGAGATCGATATAAAAATCGACAGTTAGATCGATAGTGAGATCGATGTGGTGCCCCGGGGTGTCCCGTGGTGTCCTATGGTGTCCCGTTGAGTGAGGTCGATAGTGAGATCGATAGTGAAATCGATACTGGAATCGAGAGGTGTCCCGCGGTGTCCCGCGGCGGCCCGTGGTGTCCCGTTGTGTGAGATCGATAGTGAGATCGACAAGTATCCCGATGTGTCCCGTGGTGTCCCGTGGTGGCCCGTGGTGTCCCGTTGAGTGAGATCGATAGTGAGATCGATTGAGTCAGATGTTTGTTACCACCCCCTCTCCCCCCCACAACCTCCTTATCACTCGAAGGGTGGTCGTATAGGTATGTGCATATCTGACTGGTTTTGTTATGGACGTTGCATATACATGTATGTGCATACTTGAACCGCGTGCGCTTCGCGCGCTTAGGTACTAGCAAGCTCCAGTCCTTTGGCCTTGCCGTGCCGCTCTTGTCGCTCTTCGTGTCCCCCTGGAGCTGTTTGCAGCGGCTGGAGGACGCCCAGGAGGCCTCGGAGAGAGGAGCCAAGGTGAGGGGGGACGGCGTTTGCATGCAGTGCGTTTGTGGGCTTGGGCCGTTGCGTGCCACCCTGCATCCAGAGAAGGGGATGCAGTGGCTGCACCCTGCTCCTCATCCGCCTGGTCTCGTCCTTCTTCTCCTGCCCTCCTCCTTCTCGTCCCCGTCATCCCCTTCGAACTCGTCACCCTGCTCCGTCTCATCAAAATTCTCATGCGCAAGAGTGGCCCAAAAGCGCCCAAAGAAGTGCCCCAAGAGAACACTTCCGAAGCCCAAGAGAGGCAGTGCTGAGCAAGAGCCCCTCCCCTTTGCTCAATGCCATCCAGGCTGGCCTCAAGAGGGCATCCAGGGCTCCCGAGAGGGCCCCAAGATGCACAGAGCTGGCTGGCCGAAGGCCTTCACGCCATGCGTATTCGTGTGTTCGGGGGGTGGTGTGGAGTGGAGTGGAATGGACACCGCTGCGATGCAGGTTCGAGAATCTAGGAACACCTGGACTGGAAAGCCTTCGATCACCGAGTCGATTGCTCAGCTCGGCTCAGGATCTTGGGGATCATCCCCCTGGCAATTCTGTTCGCGGGGTGGTGACCCACGGCTGTTCCAGGTTCCAGGGAACGCCCCGTACCACAAGGGGGTGAACGTTCCACAGCCCTGTCCCACACGGGATCCAATTCGAGAGGGGGTGCCCGTGATCCACAAACCCTGGCGGAGGGGTCCACAAGCCTTGGGGGTGAATTCCACGAACCCCACGGGAATTCCACAAAGCCTGTGGGGAGTTCCACAAACCCTCGGGAGGGGTTCCACAAACCCCGGGAGAAGTTGTAATTAGGTATGCGTTAGGCTATCGCTGCACACATGGCATCTTGGCCCAAGCGCTCCCATAACACGATGCAATGACCAAATAGCCAGACCGTAATGACATCATGATGCAAAGGAAACGTTGCTCGGAAGAGGACGCAGGGCCAGTGGGGAGAGATGAACAGGGGGAAGGAGAGGGCGAAAAGGGCGAAGGGAACGGGATTGAGATAAGATAGAAGGATGAGATGGGTTTGGAGCGGGAAAAAGCTTCTGCAGACTCATAGAAGGAAGAAGGATGAGATGGGCTTGGAGGAGGAAGAGGCTTCTACGTCTGTATGATGTGCTATGGGCATCTCGGGCGCTTGACAAGCTCTCCCCCACGCACAAGACGTCCAAGGGCACCCCCCGAGCGCAGAACCGCACAGCGTCCGAAACGCAGCGGCGTGGGCAGGAGGGGGGATAGCGAGACAGGAAGGTGGTGGAACGAACTGGGGCCACCGATACCGCGACGCCCCGCGCCCCCCAGAGGCGCGCCCCTGTGCACGTCTGCGCCCCCGAAGCTGGCGCGCATCTTGCTCTGCGCGTCGGCGTCCTGGAAGCCGCCCCCCGGGGCCTGAGCGCGCGCGCGCGCGCCCCGGGCGTGGCTAGCCAGACGGAAGCACCCAGGGGGGCTGGTACGAGAGGCGCGCTGCTGCCCACCAGCAACTCTCACTGCCCAAGCTGCCGCAACTGCCGCGACCCGAGACGCCCGGCGACGCCCAGGGTCAAACCTGCCAAAGAGAAGAAACGGACTTGGGTGGCGGAGTTCTCCCCTCGATCCTGCTCCCTGCTCCCCCCGTTTCCACCTTCCCTCCTCCTCCGCCTCCTCCTCCTCCACCTCCTCCCTACCCGTCAAGCATAATTCCGGATGACGATTAATAAACAAAAATAAGTGGAACGATTAAAACATAGTTGTTTTGATTTCTATGTGCTTTTTCAACGGAAGGAGGACGATTGCACAATATTTCTGTTACACGTCGGCTTCGAGTGATGCGTCGAATACTCATTTCACGTTGTCGTCAAATTTGACGTTAAATAATCATCCGACGTCGCCTTCAAATTTTACGTCAGTACCAAGTCTACGTCGGCTCCAAACTTTTACGTCAAATAATTACTCGGTACACGTCGGCTTCAGACACTATGTCTCCTGCTCATTTGACGTCGGATTCAAATGTTACGTCAAATACACAATCCACGTCGACGGCTGTCCGGGCGCGCGCCCGAGGACGGCAGGGAGGGAACGATTAAAAAATCGTGTCCCAGCCCTGCGACCGGTTTTTCTAATCATCCTCCGGGGCGCCGCCGACGCAACACGACCCCTGGTCAGTTATCAATCGTCATCCTACATTAACAGAAAAGCAAAGCCCGAGCCCCTTCCAGGAACCTCGAAGGTGAACTCGTCGGCAGGCGGCAGGCTGTGGAGGTCGGCCTGCAGCTGCAGCCAGCAGGCTGCGCTAAGTGGTGCTCGCCGTAGGAGGAGTGGGGGGAGTGGAGGACGAAGGGAAAGGAAGGTAGGCAGGGAGGGAGAAAGGAGGCAGGAGGGGAGGGAGGGAAAGGAGGGGAATAGAGAGGAGGAACACCTGAGGCCTGAGAGGCACAAAACTCCAAGCTGATGGGCTCGACCATCTAGCTCGCGGCCCGTCACGCCGCGCGACACGAGGCGGCCTCCCGAACGCAAGCGAAGAAAGACAAACGCACCACCACGACAACCTAGCCCCGCAAGCGGATCAGCACCAAACCGACCTCTGTACTCCGTGCCCCCCTCACTCCGAGACACCGACGGTGCCCTGACCAGGGATGGAGGGAGAGCGGGAGGATCCATCATATCAGAACCAGCAGTGGGAGCAGTAGCGGAATCCCGAGCAAAAGAAGGAGCATCAGCAACAGCGACAAGCAAACGGCAGCGGCGGCAACTGCAGCGGAACAACAGTTGCGAAGGCAGCAGCGACTTAGCAACAAGAGCTCACGCCCTGCAAGAGCAGCGTCGCGACAATGGGGTATGGTGGCAACGGCTGGCACAAACACAATCGGCAAACACTACTGTGGCCCAAACTAATACTTCGTTTGTACGTACATGCAGTTCCTTGTTGAAACCAGCCGCGCGAGTTCCGGAAATCCGACTGATCATACGTGTACGACCAACATTTGGGTGATCATATTTTTTGGGGGAGGAAGAACCAACGCCTCACTCGATAGACTTCACAATCGATATCACGATTGATATCACGATCGACCTCGATACCGATACCACGACCGTTTTCACAATCGATTTCACTATAAATATCCGCATCGATATCACGATCGGTTTCAGTATCGATCGCACTATCGATCGATGTCAGTGATGTCACCAATGGTACCACTATCGATCTCACGATCGACCTCATTACTGGACACCGGCGGGACACAGACGGGACACCGGCGGAACACCCGCGGGACACCCCTGGCCACCGCCGGACAACCTGGAGGGGGCGGTATTGTGGTCCCGCGGCGCCCTAGCCGAAAGAGGGTCTTCCTCTCGCCCGCCCATGCAGCCTCACCTCGCCCTCGCGCGCGACAGGAACACGAAACCAAAACATACTCTCCGGCGGGGGGGGGTCCGTCGCACCGCGATTTCACCCCCCACACCTCCCACCCTGAAAGCAAGGAAAAAGGCACGGCGACAGCGACGCGGCGCAACAATTCCTGACCCTCCTGTTGGCCGATTCAAAGTAACCTGGCGAAAGAACCAACCATATGCAACTGTGAGTACCGCATATGTGAATGTCGTCGTCGGCGGAGCTCCGTACGGGGTCGCGAACTGCGCGAATGGTGCGCCAAAGTGGAACGGCGGCGGCACGCGGGCGCTGCCACTGGGGCCTTCGATAGAGTTCCCTATGTAGCCTGCGACGTGGCTCCCTCTGTCCGTGATCTGTTTGATGGGGGGGAAGCGAGAAAAGCTAGGCCGTCCAAGATTGTCCTTCCCTTTTTTTCTCCCGCTGTGCCCGCGCACTCTAAAACCCAAGGCTGCGGGCGCAGCGCAGCGCGGAGTCCCCGCGACGCGCGCCGGTCGCCCCGAAGGGGTCACCGACGCGCGCGGGTCGGCCGGTGCGCGAAGCAAAGAGAGATAGCTGGCTTGCTGGCTGATTGCGGGCAAAGTTATGGCTGCTGGGCAGAGCGACGACAGGCGAACGAGGCGCTGGGCAAAGCGCACCATGGAGTTCCCGCAACGCGCGCTGGTCGCTCCAAGAGGATCCCAGCGCCGCGCGGGTCGTCCGCAGCGCGGGGCCACACAGTCACACCGTCGAGAAAGCGAGGTTCGGGCGGGCCGCTCCCCCGTAGGGCTATGGGACCACGAAGCATGTGAAATATGAGTTCCCCATGAGGCCACGAAACGCTGTACTGGGCGCAGGAACCGCACTATAATTCCGCCACTGGGACCTTCGGTGGAGCTCCCCATCGAGCCACGAAACATAGTGCTGGGCGCACGAACCGCATGCGAGTTCCGCCAATGGCTGTACTGGGCGAAGGAAACGCATGCGAGTTTTGCGAAGGGAACCTTCGGTGTAGTTCCCCTTTGAGGCCACGAAACGCTGTACTGGGCGCAGGAACCGCATGCGCATTCCGCCACTGGGACCTTCGGTGGAACTCCCCATGGAGCCACGAAACGCAGTGCTGGGCGCAGGGGCCGCATGCGAGTTCCGCCAATGGCTGTACTGGGCGAAAGAACCGCATGCGAGCTCCGCCAATGGGACCTTCGGTGGAGTTCCCCTTTGAGGCCACGAACCGCTGTACTGGGCGCCGAAACCGCATGCGAGCTCCGCCATTGGGACCTCAGGTGGAGCTCCCTATGGGGACACGAAGCGCGGTACTGGGCGCAGGAACCGCACGCGAGCTCAGCCACGGGGGCTTTCGGTGGAATTCCCTATGAGGCCACGAAGCGCTGCGCTGGGCGCAGAAACCGCATGCGAGTTCTGCCAATGGGACCTGCGGTGGAGCTCCTCATGGGGCCACGAAACATCGCTCACGGCGCAGGAAACGCATGCGAGTTCCGCCACTGGGACCTTCGGTGGAGCTCCCCATGGGGCCACGAAACACCGCGAGATCCGCCACGGGGACCTTCGGTGGAGCTCTCTATAGGGCCACGAAGCGCTGTACTGGGCGCAGGAGCCGCATGCGAGCTCCGCCATTGGGACATTCGGTGGAGCTCCCCATGGGGCCACGAAGCGCTGAACTGGGCGGGGGAAACGCAAGGAGGAGGGAGGAGGGGCAGGAGGAGGAGGAGAGGAAGAGAGGTGGGACGCGGGGCGCTGTCTCTTCAAAACGAGGACCCAGCACCACAGGCTGGTTGGGAAGAACTCGGGTTACACTGTGACAGGGCTGAACGCCTTTCTAGCATCGTCCTCCTGATGTTCATCCGTTTCCTCCTCTTCCTCCTCCTCCTCCTTCCCCTCCTCCTCCTCCACCTCCTGCTCCTCCCCCCCTCTCCAAGCAAATCCCTCCACCCTGTCCTCCAGCTCTGATTGCCCCGCGAACGACTCGAGACCACGCGCCTTGCAGAAGGCACGACGCGTGCTGCCGAGAGCGAAGGTGGTTTCCAAGGCCCTTCGCCAGCTCCAGTGTCATAGTGCCCCATCGCCAACGTTAGGGCGGAGGCCCAAAATGCTTCACGGGATCTCCTTTTGAAATAAAGCATCATACCCGACGATGGAAGTCAATGCGTTGGCAAAGCGAGGGACAGAAAACGACGCCTAGCAATATCTATGGATGCCGCAAGTCGCGCGGCATTTTTTCTGGGTGGCCAAACAGTATTGTTAGCCGAAAGAAAGCGAGCGGCGCGCACAGGAATCAGGCGCGGGGCCTGACACCCCTATGGATTGGAGCCCTGCGCGGCAGGGAGAACCACCTGCCTCCGGCGCGCGGCCTTCCAGAGTTCAGGCGCAGCCCGAAACTCAGAAAACAAGCCGAGAAGGGAGCGGGCAGGCGAGCCAAGCAGCAATCGCGCCCTGGCGACCACCTGGACCCCCTCTTCCTCTCCCTCCCCATCCATTCCCATGGGTCCAATACGCACGGGCGTCGCAAGTCACGCGGCACTTCTTCCGAACGGCCAGACATTGCTGTTAGCCGGAAGCGAGCGGCGCGCGCAGGAATCAGGCGCGGGGCCCACCACCCTTATGGAAGAGGGGCCTGCGCGGCAGGGCAAAACACCTGCCTCCGGCGCTCGGCTTTCCCAACGCCCCCTAGCCTTGCTGCCAAGATCGACGCGGCAGCTGCAGGCGAGGCATCCTTGGAGGCTGGCGATAGGCGCTGTTCGCCCATCATCGCCAGCCCGTCCGCAACTTAACTACGGGCAGCGCGGCCGTTGCTCTAGCGGCCGCGCGCGATGGACCTCCCCGAAGATCCATGGTAGCTACAATCGCGCGCGGCTCCATCTCCTGATTGAATATAGAGAAGAAAACCCACGGTCCTTGAGTCCGAGCCCCCGACAGACTGGCTTGAACAAGCCCCGCCGCCCAGGGCCCGAAAGGCAAGCGAACGGCTCGGAAGGTCGGCGTCGCTGGGCGAGTTGCCACAGCGCCCCCGCGACCAACGTGACCCTCGGCGCCGGAAATCTCGTCAAAAGGCGCCGCGTGGACGGAGGGCCCGCCGGAAGGTGCTCCGCGCGGCGGGGGCCCCTCCCAGGAGTCGCAGGCCCTCGAGACGTCGCCCCCGCGCTCGGCCAGCGGGAAGCACCGGGAAGCACCGAGAAGCTGTGCCAGAGTTGCCTGGACAGCACGGCGCGCGGGGGCCCCGCTCGCTGGCGCCGAGGCCAGGGCCACCCCCGCGCTCGGGCCCTCGTCGCGAACGGTTCATGTCCTGCCGCCGCGGCCTCTGCTTTCGCCGCGGCCCCGAGCGCGTCGTTGACGTCGCCGCGCGGTCTGCCGCGAGCCCCCTCTGAGGTCTGGGGCCGCCGGGGCCAGACTCGCGGGGAGCCTGCTCGACGGTCTCCTGAGGCCCCCTTCTGGGGGGAAGGGCGCGCGCTGGGGACTGGAAGGGCCGCCTCGGCGCCGTCGAGCCCCTAGCCGGCAGCCCGGCTCCGGGCCCGGGGGGCAGCCTCGGCCAACTTCACCCAGCCCAGCTCGGCCCTCGCGGCGATCGCCCGCCCCCGGCCCGTCGAAAGCCCGATCTCTGCCTGCCGGAGGAGCTCTAAGTGGCGGGCCGTCGCCCAGCTCACGTCCGCGACCGAGGTCTCCAGCGCCACGAAGCGCTTGACGAAGATGTCCCAGACCCTCGACAGATTCCCGGCGAGAAGGGCATGCAGGCACTCCGCGAGGGCGCGGAACTCGCGGCACGCCCGAATCCCGATGACATCTCGGGGTGCCGCTGGAAGGAGGCACTCAATAATTACTCACTGCGTGGAACCCCCCATATGTGCAACTATTCGCATGGACCTGTCCTCCGTGAACGTCTAGGCGCAAGAGCTTTCGAATATAAACGGGCTTCAGTTGTGACTGTCTGGTCATGAATCTAACTGCGCATGAATTGGAGTGTGGTGAGCCTCAGTAGTACGAGCGCGCCTATGCGCATGAGCCTGGGGCCTCCTGGGGCCTCCTGAAACCTACTGGGGTTTCCTGGGGACTCCAGGAGCCTCTTGGGGCCTCCTGGGGCCTCCTGGGACCTCCTAGGGAGGATTCGTGCCCCAGGAGAGGCCCAATCTATAGCAACAGACGCACATGAAACATGACGGATTCGAACCGCAGGAGAAGGGCAGTCTATAGGGAGTCTATAGGGATATACGTAAAACACCAAGGACTCGTGCTCCAGGAGAGGCCCAAGGGCCCAAGATATAGGAACATAATTAGGTGAAACAGTTAGGATTGCACACTGGAGAAGAACAATTTATAGAGACATACAAAATAACGTCAAGGGTTCGTGCTCCAGGTGAGGCCCGGTCTATACGAGCGTACGCAAAACACATGGGGTTGGAACCACTCCTGTTACCTTCTGAGGCCTCATGTTCCTGGGGCCTGTCGGGGCCTCCTGTTGCCTTCTGAGGCCTCCTGGCGCATCCTGTGGCCTCCCGGGGCCTCCTGTGGATTCCTGAGGCCTCCTGGAGCTTCCTGAGCCTCCTGGAGCCTCTTGGGACATCCTGTGGCCTCTTGAATTTTTCTGTGGCCTCCTGATGCCTCCTGGGACCTCATGTGGTCTCCTGGGGCCTCCTGGAGTCTGTTGGAGCCTCCTGTGCCCACGAGTCTGGCCACCAAAACAAGCAAACCGACCGAGACCTCCTCAAAATCCGGCCCACCTGGGGGATGAAAATGAGCGCCTCGCTCGAAACATCCTCCAAATCTGCTCCGAAAGCGAAGGATGCCAGGACAGAAAACAAGCAGACCGCTTGAGACATCCCCACAAAACGGCCGCGAACGGGACCGTGAAATACCTCTCGGCGGCTCCCCTTCGGGGGGGGGGAATAAGCGCCTCGCTCGAGACATCCTCCAAATCTGCTCCGACGGCGAAGCATGTTGGGACAGAAAACAAGCAAACCACTTCAGACATCCCCACAAAGCGGCCGCGAACGGGACCGTGAAATACTCCTCGGCGGCTCCCCTTAGGGACGTGGGAATGAGCGCCTCGCTCGAAACATCCTCCAAATCTGTTCCGAATGCGAAGCATGTTGGCACAGAAAGCAAGCAAACCGCTTGAAACATCCCCACAAAACGGCCGCGAATGGGACCGTGAAATACTCGTCGGCGGCTCCCCTTGGGGGGGGGGGAATGAGCGCCTCGCTCGAAACATCCTCCAAATCTGCTCCGAAAGCGAAGGATGCCAGGACAGAAAACAAGCACACCGCTCGAGGCATCCCCACAAAACGGCCGCGAACGGGGCGCGCGTGAGTCTCACCATGAGTAAGTCTGCGTAGGAGTAGGTCTGAGTATGAGCAGGTATGAGTGCAAGCCCATCCGACATCGTTCCGGGTCCGGCAGGATCCTCCGGCCTTGCGCTGGAGAGATCCTCAAAGCATGGTCCCGGGAGGGCTTCCCGGAACGTGCCTCTGGCGCCGTGCACCAGGGCCGAGCAGGGCCTCTGGGATGGACTCATCCACGGCAGGAGGCCGGCGCCTCAGCGAGAGAAGCATTTTGAAAAAAAACGCTGGCGAAAACCCAACTCCCGGTAATCCTGTGTGTAAAAAACAGTACGCGAGGGGGGGGTCGAATATTCCCAGGACGCCATCAGGGGAAGATGGAGAGTGGTATTCATATGGAGTAATTGAGGAGGAGAGGGGGGGGGGGGAAGGGGCGGCGGGCCCAGGCACGACGGCGACAAGGGAAGGGGCAGGAAGAGGCGAGGGGAGAACGGGACCAAGCCAGGAGGGCAGCGAGGGGAGCCGAGGGTGAGCTGGCCCCCGTCGGCCCTCGGGCTCCCCGCGGAGAAGGCAACGGCTGCCGCCCACTGCTCGCAGCCCGCCTCGCCGGAAGCGCACGCAGCCTTCCGCCGTCGGGGCGATGATCGGGGGCGTCCAGGAGGTGGGCGATGGCCCGACAAGACTGCAAAACGACAGGGAGCTACCTCCACGGCTTTCCACGAGCCTGCCGCCGCCGCCGACCGCCAGGAAAGGGCGCCAACGGGAAACAGCCGCCGACCAGCCGCCGACTTATCATCGACATCCAGCAAGTACGACCGGAGAAGGGGGAGCAGAAGAAGAGGCCGAATGCTTTACTTCCACGGCCGTCCGCGTGCTCACCACCGCCATCCGCCAGGTGAATGCGCCATACGTTGCTTCCGCTGAGCATCTTGTGACCCGCCACCTGTTTCTACCCGACCTGAAGAGGATGGTGGGGACCGTGACCCATCCCCGTGCTGCGGAACCTGACAGAACGGGCGCCCGGGAATGAGTACGGAGCCCCGTCTGTATTGGGGGCGGAGGCACGACCTGCCCAAAACCACATGGAACCTGACGGGACCGTGGCATGGGCAGGTAATGATCCCCTGAAGATTTGAGAGGCACAGCGGCGTCGCAGGGGTGACATGGAGGCCTGACGAGACACCATTGCACGGACGAAGCTGGGCGACCCTTGATGCACGGGGTGGACGGGAGGCACGGCGACGCCACGTGACATCGAGGCCCGACGGAACACCGTGGCACGGACGACGCTGGGCGACCCTTGGTGCACTGATGTGGCGGTTAGCTTATGACGCCAGTGTGATGGTTTACTGACGTTGACAGGCATCGTCTGCCCTCGTTCACACGGCGAAGAGCGATGGAGGACTGGGGGCAGGGAAGGGGCGCGAGAAAGGATGGCGGAGGGAGGCAGGGGGAATGGAGGGGGAGGGAGGGCAGGGGGGCGAGGGGGGGAGGGGCGAGCGAGGGGGCGAGAGGGCGAGAGAGAGAGGCAGGCGTGGAGAAACTGGGAGGAGGGACGCACGCCGGGCGGGCATCCGCGCGGGCCCCGCCTCCCCCACCAGGCGCGCCGGCGCGCCCCGGTCGGCCTCGCAGCGCGAGAACGGCCCGTCCGCCGGGGGCATCGCGCGGGCGGCCGCGAGGCCCGGCCGGGCCGGGCGACAAAGGGGGGAGCGGCGCCGTGGACCGCGAGGAGCCCTGGAGGCGGCGGGGGCGCGGGGGGCAGGCCGCGGAGGCCGAGGAACGGCACGAGGGTGCGCCACGAGCAGGGGTCGCTGCACCGGCCCTGCAGGACGTGCTGCGGCGGCTTTCTGCGTGAAGTCCTGCCCGAAGCGGCGAGCGAAAATCTGAATTTCGCGTGGACTTATCTCGTCTTCATTCCTGGCCCAAAAAAACCGCACGACATTCACCTCGAAACCCGGAGCGACATTCTCCAGGACTCTCCGGGCCCATCCGATCGTTTTCCGAACGAAATCCGCTCTGCGATGTTGGCGCCATGAGAAGGGGAAGGGAGACGGGGGAACAGTCAGTGGCATGAACAGAAACTGTCGAAGGTCCGCGCGAGTTTCTCGGATCGGCGCTGGAGCTCCCTCGCGGCGCCTCCCGCGCTGCCACTAGCGCGCTGCGCGCGCCAGGGAGAGGGCCCAGCGCCGATCCGAGAGATCCGCGCGGACCTCCGAAAGATTGTGTTGATGTCAGCGTTTTTTCCCCCAGGAGAAGAGGTGAGCCCGCCAAGAAGCTACCCGTGTCTGCATCCTCGACGCCCCCCGTGGCCATTGTGGCATGGGAGCAGTCGTTAAATCAATCAACACATGTTCCCGCCGTCTCAGCGCTCCCGAAAGCCTTCCAAGGCGGTTGTTCCACTGCATGCTTCTACACTTCCCTGATCAAGGCAACTCGCCTGGCGATCGTTTCTGGATGGGCTGGTGGGGATTTGTTTTGGTCGCGGCCGCAAGCGAAGGCACAGGCGGCGGGTCGATAAGTCCGGGGCGCGGTCCTTACTAATTTACAGCGAGCAGCAAACTAGAGCGCAACATAGGGGCTGGTGGGGATGCGCAAAGCGTAAAGATTTCAGCCTCACTCTTGCTGCGCTGCTGCGCTGGCACGGTGGCGTTTCTTTTTTTGAGGAGGAGAGCACGACCACTGATCACCACAACAATGCATCAACCACAATGCGAATCCAAAGGTCGCCAGGCAAACTGGCGACGCAACATAAAGCGACTGCAATAGCGAGTTCCCGCAACAACAGAGACGACGGCGGCTGGCGAGACGGAGGCTCACCGTCCGTAGCAGTATTAAAACAGCACCCGATGGTTGCAACCATGTAGCGGAGTCTGGCGCCAGGGATTGAAATGCCTCTGCTACGACTGCAACTGCTAAAAGTAGAGGTCAAAAAAGAAATGGAGCCAAGACGCAAACCTCCAAGAGGCTGACAGGGCTGACACTGCCCTCGCTTGCCCAGAGTATTATGTGGATGCTTATTGGCATGTGCGAAGACACAGTTAGACACATATTCACGTACGTGCTGACACGATGAACAAAGTTCCACAGAAGTGCGTGCTCAGTACACACTCGGGGAGCCCTGGAAGAGCTGACGTAGAACATGGCATGACAAGAAGATGCCTCGCGTGCGCGCTTGTGCGATTGCGCAGGCGCCGATAAGCCAACTGGCATGACAACCTTGCCAATTACGGCGGCGGTGACGCGAAACCGTCGACATGTTACTTCCATGTATGATGATGCACGCGCCCGCCATTGGGCCACAACGGCCGAAGGCGGTGCTGATGATGGCGCGCAAGCTCACTATGCAGCAACATGTCTACTGGAAGCGCATGTCCTGCGACCCCACCATCCCACCAATAACCCCAGAGTGCCCAAATCTCAAAGCCCCATCCTGCAGGACCCCAACAAGCCACCGAGAGGCCCCAAAAAGCCCAAGAGGCCCCCCAAACACACTACCGCTAATTACCAAAGACGGCCCCAAGTAGCACCACCGGCCACCAACGTGGTCCCACAGGCCCGCAGAAGACGTCGCAAAGCCCGGATGGCTCCCTTTGTGCTGCCACAGCAGCTCGGGACGCGCAAAATCAATCGGCTTGCAAGCAAGTCGCGCTGGCAGACCTGCAAGAACTAACTGGATTGTTGTTTTGTGGAGCCGCTTTCATCGCTGCTGGATCTTGGCTAGCGAATGCGACGGGTATTTCAGAACGTTCATGGAGTCAGGAGCAGGGAGGCGAGGATATTCGGAAGAGATGAGCTTCCACTAATACCACATACAAATCGGATACGCAATACGATCAACTAAAACACATTATAAACAATATTGAAAACCAAATGAGAGTCTGAGGCGAGTCGCGCATAGTCGACACAGCTAATGCCAAAGATCCACGCTTGATCCCGAGCGCTTAGCACCACGAGTGCGAAGTCTGGAAACCAAGTTACGTGCACTTGCGGTCCCACAGAAAGACAGGTACGGCCGTGCTAAACTTCCCAACTGCACTTGCACAAAGGTATCTTACATCTTTGAGGGAGCGCGTTTCATGGGCGCTCGCCTTGGGAACATTCGGCGGCGTGATTGAACCAGCGGGGGGGGGGGGGGGGGGCAACATTCGGTCCCGTCGAACAAAACCAGGGGGACTCTCCTCCCCCCACGCGCTGGCGCCAGCGGCGACGGCGGCGACGGCTGGCGGCGCCGACGCCCACACCCACGCCCACACCCACGTTCACGCCCACGCCCACGCCCACACCCACGCCCAGGCCCAGACCCACGCCCGCGCCCACGCCAACGCCCACGCCAACGCTCACACGCACGCCCCCGCCCACCCTCGCGCCCACGCCCAGGCCCAGGCCCACGCCCACGATCACGCCCAAGCCCACACCAACACCCAAGCCCACACCCACGCCCACACGCACGCCCACGCCCAAACCCGCGCACACGCCTACGCCTACACAAGCGCCCACGCCCACGCCCGCGCCCACGCCCACGCCCACGCCCACGCCCACGTCCACGCACAGGCCCAGGCCCAGGCCCACGCCCACGCCGGCGCCGGTGCATGCCCGAGAGGGGGCGGGGTGGGTCGAACCGAAAATGGGAGACATCACATCCAACTAGGACAGGTTCCAATCGTTTCGGACACTAATCCCAACTAACTGGTACCAATTACAACAGCTTTCCAATATGCTTCAATGTTTTCACAGTTTTCTTAGAAACTCCTTAGAGGCTCCTCTGAAGCTCCTTAGTAGCTCCTTTAGACGCTCCTCTAGAAGCTCCTTACTCCGCAGGAGCTCTTAAGACGCGAAGCTACTTAGAGGCTCCGTACAAGCTCCTTAGAGGCTACTTGGAAGCTCCTTCGAGGCTTTTTAGACGCTCCTGAGAGGCTCCATGGAAAGCCCCCTATTAGAGGCCCCTTAGAAGCTCCGTACAGGCACCTGGGCAGCTCCTTAGAGACTCCTTACGGGCTCCTTAGCAGCTCCTTAAAAGCTGCCGAGAGGCTCCTGACAGGGTCCTTTGAAGCTCCTTAGAAGCTCCCTACCAGAGGAATTTCAAGGATGCCTGGAGGATTTCTGGAGGATTGCTGGAGGATATCCCAAGAATGTCTAATAGGATTGCTGGTGGATTCCTGAAGGATTTCCTAAGGATTTCTGGGGGGAAAAAAAAAGCCTCGGGACTCCTGGAGGAGGAGGAGGAGGAGAAGGAGGAGGAGGGAAAACGCAAGAAAGGAGGAAGAAAGGAACGGCTGAGGACAACGAGGATGATACATCGGGTTTTTTGATGCGTTCCTGTGAAAGGTGTGGGTCGCAGAGCCCAAAAGCAGCCGCCCGAAACAGACAAATACAAAAACAACTGAAACCTCGAAGCTCAATATTACAAACACCACAGGCAACGACAGGCAACCAAGCCCACTCAACCAGGACAACCACGAGGAAGCGCGAAACGCACGCAACGACGCAGACGCCCCTCATGAAGCGCACCTGGAGCCCGTGGCTACTTGATCTGAATGAGAACTCAAATCACTGCACAAACCGAATGTAACGCATGGGGACTTCAGCTGACAGGGCGATCGGTTCCGAGGGCCGTGCTAGGCTCACTGCACCACCAACAAGACTGAGGCCGCTGCCGAACTACGAACCCATTGGAGCCACGCTGGCGCCCGAAGCAAGCTGTGCAGCACACACGTTTCACTCATCAACCTCCTGTTGTACACCTGGTGGGCGGCACTTGTCATCAGTCTAGGGCTGGGCTACACTAGTTGCCCAACATGCCTGCAATCACAATTGCGCAACTGGGTACGAGTTCCCGGGGAGGCCAGTGGAGGTTCTTGGAGCGACATGCGGCTTCTATGTTTGACGGTCGCAAGGCCAGAAGCAAACTCCAGAAACAGACAAATACGAATACCCTGAAACCTCGAAGCCCCATATTACAAGCACCGCAGGCAACGACATGAAACCACGACCACTCAACCAGGACAACCACGAGGAATCGCGAAACGCACGCAACGACGGAGACGCCCTGCATCAAGCGCACAGGGAGACTGTGGGAGGGCGCGCCGCTGGATGTCCCCAAGGGGGGGAGGGGGGGACACCCCCCCCCTTTCCCCGATCCGTCGTTTGGACCCCCCCCCTCCTTCCCGAACCGTCGTCGGGGACCCCCCCCCCCCTCCTTTCCCGGTCCGTCCCCCCCCCCCCCCCCCCTCCTTTCAGAAGGGGGGGTGGAACTGGCTGCCAAATTCGACCCCCCCCCTCCCCTTTCGCCACGGCGCCCCCAGTCTCCGGAACCCGACCCCGACCACCCCTAACACGAATCCTCACTCTTACCCTAGCACCCAATCTTTACCCCAAACCCAAACCCTAGCCCCAGACAGCACTCACTACTCATTACGCACTACTCACTACCCACACATCACTATTCGCTACTCACCACTCACTTCTCATTACTCACTACTCACTACTCATCACTCACTACCCACGACTCACTGCCCACTACCCACTACTCACTACTCCCTACTCCCTACACAATACTCGCTACTCACTACAAACTACTCACTGCTCGCTACCCACTACTCAATACTCACTACTCACGAAACACAACTCACAATCCACTACTCACACTTCACTACTCACTACTCACTACCCACTAACCACTATCCACTACTCACACTTCACTACTCACTACTCACTGCCCACAACCCACTACTCACTATCCACTACTCGCTACTCGCAACTCCCTACTCAGTACTCCCTACAAAGTACTCGCTACTCACTACTCGCTACTCCCAACGCCCTACTCGCTACCCAATACGCACTCTTCAGTACCAACTTCTCACTACTCACTACGCCCCCACTGCTCACTACTCACTACTTCCTACTCCTTACTCAGTACTCCCAACGCATTACTCACTACTCACTGCCCAGTACTCAATACTCACTAAACACTACTCACTGCCCACTATTCACTACTCACTAAGCACTATTCACTACCCAGTAACCACTATCCACTACTTACTACTGAGTACTCACAGTTCACTACTCACTACGCACTGCCCACAACTCACTACTCACTACCCACGACTTGCTACCAAATACAACATATTCACTACCCACTACGCACTCGTCGCTACTCACTACTTACTACCCACTACTCCCTACTCACTTGTCGCTAGTCGCAAGCCGCTACTCACTACTCACTAATCACCCCTCACTACATACGACTCTCTACTCACTATTCACTAAGTTCTACTCGCAACTCCCTACTCACTACCCACTACTCAATACCCACTTCTCGCTTCTCACTACTCACTACTCACTACTCACTACTCACTACTCACTACTCGCTACTCCCTACTCGCTACGCACTACCCCCTACTCTCTACTCACTACTGACTCCTGACTACTCCCTCCTCACTACCCACTACTCACAAGGCCCTACTCGCTACTCACTACTCACTACTCGCTACTCCCTACTCGATACTCCCAACCCGCTACTCGCTGCTCGCTGCTCACCACACACTAATCACTACTCTCTACTGACTGCGAACTAGTCACTACTCACTACCCACCCCTCGCTATTCGCTACTGTCTACTCCCTCATCCCTACTACCTGCTTACTACTCACTATGCACTACTCACTACACACTACTCATTCCTCACTACTCATAATTCCTTACTCTCTACTTCCTTCCCACTACTCACTACTCACTACTCGCTACTCACTAATCTCTACGCGATACTCACTACTACCCCTACCCACTACCCACTACTCAATACTCACTACGCACGACTCACTGCGCACGACTCACTATCAAATACCCACTACTCACCAATCGCTACTCCAAAACTTATACTCTCTACTCACTACCCGAGAGGCCCCCTCCCCAGCCCCATGTTCGGCGCAAAGGGGGGGAGGGGGGGGGGTCGACCCCCCGCCCTTTCCAGTGCCAAAGGGGGGAATGGGGGGGGAGGGGGGGGGGGGAGGCGAAAATCTCACCCCCCCTTTGAAGGGGGGGAGGGGGAGGGGCTTCTGCGAACACACTCCCTCTTTTGTGTATTCAGGGCTATCCACTGGAGCGCTTTCAGGTGGCTGCTTCGGTTGAGCGGTTGCCTGTCGTTGCTCCCTGAATTGATCCCCGTCGCACTCGTAGTCAATTCGTCGTAGTCGTAGTAGAAGTCCTAGTCGTCGACTTCGTCGTCTTCGTCGTCCTGCTGCACATTCCTGACCAGGGCCGTTCGCCGGATGTCTGTTTTTGGATGGACTGGTGGGAGTGCGCGAAAGCCGACAAGCTGCAGGTGGGCGTGTGGGATATTTGCAAGAGCAGCGATGTTGACGAATTCAATATTGACAAGAGAATTGAGCCACGTAGCTTGCAACCCATTGATTGCAGCTCGCAGGCTGCACCTCACATACTGCACCATGTAGATTCACAATATGAGTAGCCTGCACCAGGTAGCTTGCACAACATATCTCGAACCGCATACATTGCCTACCTGGCGCCCACTCCGTCTACTGCAACACATGCATTGCATAGCATTGATGCTATCGCATATATTACAGCACAGAAGTTGCGCCATCCACATATTGCAACACATATACTGGGTATCCAGAGAACAAGGACCCAGCGTGTCATGCCCACACTGGCAACAAAAATACCTAACGTGGTAAACCCAACAAAAAACTTGACTGTAAAACTGACCAGATGCTGACAGGAACCGTGGCTCACTCCGGCAGCTCAGGGCAGTAGCTCACCTTGTCGGTGAAGCACACCTTCTCGGGGGGGTCACGGAGAAGTAGGTCGTCGCAGGCGGGGCACAGACCGCAGCCCCGCACTGGTGAGAGGTATCGTGGGGGGGCCCAAGAGGCTATGTTTCAATGGGTGTAGCGCGCAAGTGGGACCAGAAGAGGAATCCGAAATAGTCATCTTCTGGGGCGGGTCCTGCAAGCTGCTGGGGCATACTGTCTAGGATTGAAGAGGACAGAAGAAACGCATACACCGACCTCCGACCACATTTGACGGAAATGGCCCGTGGTCGAACATGATCGGGTCTCTCCTCCCCCGCGGCCTGAGGGCCCCAAGCCTTCTACAGCCAGCACTGGGAGAAGGCAGGGCAAAAGGAGGGGAGCAGGCGCAGGAAGAGAAACAGGAACAAGACGAGGAGGAGGGAGAGGCAGAGGGAGATCAGGCAAAGGCAGACGACGACAACGACGATTAGCAGGCAGCACGCATAGACAACGCGACGCCACGGGCGGACTCCTTCTTGTAGGTGGCGGGAGGGTCTGAACTGTTTGGGACCCCAGAAAATCGGTCGTGGCGTAGGGGATCGACTACAGAATTGATTTACCCCATAGTTGATGTGCTAGCGTGAGTCGACGAACAAATCAACTATGGGGTAAATCAATTCTGTAGTCGATCCTCTACTCGAGGTCGGGAGGAAGGATGTGAAGCCAGGCCCGCTCAAAATCGGTCCGCAGGCCCCCACCGGGTCGGTCGGTCAGGCGCCGCTTTCGCCCCGGATCAACTTTTCATGGCCCCGCGGAACCCGGAAACGGCCACCGGAGGCCGAGAAGGGCAAAACAACTTCCCGAACCCCGAACCTCGAAGCTGCCCGGCCTCCCTGCTGGCCAGAACCAGTGCTGGGCCCCCTCAACTCACAGACGGCCCCGAACGCCTTCGACCCCCGGGGGCCTTTCGGCGCCCGCGGTCCACACCCCGCTGGCTCTCCAACAAGCTTGGCTGCGCCCGCGCCGCTGCCGGCAGCAGGGCCGGCAAGCGCAGGGCGCTGTCCCCCTGGCCAGCGGCGTCAGCAGCCGTGAGTCGGCGGCGAGCCCCAGGGGGGGAAGGCGAGAAGGTGCGGGCCTTCTCGGAAGGCTCGGGGAGTCCCCGGGCCTTCCGAGAAATCCTCCGAGCCTGCCCCGAAGTCGCAGAAAGCTTCTCAGAAGGCGCGGGGGCTGTGAAAGCCTCTGCCGCCCCTCTACCTTGCTCGGAGGCCATTCGTGCCCACATTGCGGCACGAGAGGCTGCGAGCAAGGGAACTGTGAACTGTCAAACTGGTCGGGCAACGGTGCCCCCCACCCCCAAAGAAAAAAAACAACCTTCCCCTTCTCACTTTCCCCCCTCGCTCGCCGCCGAGGGAGAGGCGTGGGGCAGAAGCAGCAGCCGCGGCAGCAGAGAAGCGGGGGAAAAGGCAGGAGCCCAGGAGAAGGACACCAGCGGCGGACAGGGAAGCGAGGAGAGAGAGAAAGAGAGAGAGAGAGAGGACAGGCCGAGGAAGGGGAGGAGCAGGAGGGAGGCTGCGGACGCTCCAATCTTAGGATCACAGTCCGCTCCACGCCAGACAAGGAGGGATGCTGCGGAGGGGGAGGGAGAGGACTGTGCTTCCCCCCCAGAGCCTCCTCGGCGCCTGGCCGATGCAAAAAAACTGCCGACCTGCTCGGCGCCTGGCCGATGCATCCCTCTTCCCTCTTCCCCATCCGGCCAAGAATGGAGAGGCCACCAGCCAACGTCCCTAGAGGGAGAAAAGACTGCACAACCATAAACACTCGACGGTCCGCGCGGACGTTTTGGATCTGCGCTGGACCCCTCCATCCGCGCGGAGCGACGAGAAATTATGTTTCTGCCGTTCTATATGTTCGACACCCGCCAACGCCCCGCCCTGGGTCCTTCAAAGACGTCGGGCGCCTGGCGGTCGCGTCCCGCGCGGGGCACAGCGCTGGCACGGACGCCGACGATGCCAGCAGCGGCAGCTGCGCCAGCTGCGCCGTCCCCGCAGAGGCGGGTCGCCCGCAGCCGCTGCCACCTGCCGATCTCGCGGCGCTCTCGGAGCGCCGGCCGGGGACCCACGGACGGAGCATCTCTCCAAGCGAGCGCCAACCCAGACCCTCTCTGGCCATGAAACGCAAACCTCCAGGCGGGAGCTTTTTCGCTATTTGCAGCCTCTGGGTGCCCTCGCCTGGCCCCAGGGAAAGCCGACTTAGGATGAGAACGCCGGTCTCCGGGAAGGGGTCCAGACTTCTGGGGGCCCACGTCGTGAAAGAAAGCAAAACGTCGGGAGTCTGCGGACGCAGCATCTCTCAGGGGGAGTGCCAGGCGCGCGCCCCTGGCTAACGTCGACCACGAGAGCGCTGCGATGCCTGGGCGGTGGCGAGAATGCCGAAGCGGCGCGCTCGGTATAGATCGAGCTCGTCGACCTCCTGGGATGCCGTCTGGGGGCACGAGCGGGGGCGTGCCTCCACTCCTCCTGTCCCTACTATTCCTATCTAGTGTATAAATACATATATATATATATATACACACAGATACACACTTCTCCTGCTCCTCCTCGCCCTCCTCCTCCTCCTCCTCCTCCTCCTCCTCCTCCTCCTCCTCCTCCTCCTCCTCCTCCTCCTCCTCCTCCCACCAGTTCCTTCTAAATAAATCCTCCCTGTTACACCACGAGACGTGTCGGTAGGGGGGCCCAGCATTTCTCCTGAGACTCCTGACCACTTACGATCCTGAAATTTAAACTTTGCGGCAGCTTGCTGGACGGAAGGCTGCGGTTTCTTAAATGTATCTCTCGCAGTAGCTGTGGATTGCGGACTGTGGACTGTGAACCGCTATCAGTCACGCCGCGCAGGCGCTGCGCCGCGCGCGTTCGCCCTCGCCCTCCCCCTCTGCCCTCGATCTCTTCGGCCCAGCGGCCTGGCCGGCAGCGGGGCGCGAAAGGCGGACCGCCGCACCCTGGCGCCGCAGGCCCACCCGCGCCCGCCGCGCGGCAAGACACCGCCCAGAGTTTCCCCTGCTGCACGGCGAAGTCCAACCGCAGCGCGCCGCCGAGCTCGAGCAGGCTCCCGAAGCGTTCCTGGTCCACGACGCCGACGCAAACGACGACGACAGCGACGACGACGACGACGACGACGACGACGACGACGACGACGCCGACGACGACGACGACGACGACGACGACGCGGGAGTGGGTGGTGCGTTAGTCGGGGGAGAAGCGTGAAATTCGCTTTCCTTTTGACGCCCCACGAGGGCCTTCTGGAAGGTCCTGTTAGACCCGGTTAGGTAATGCACTTTTCCTCACCCCATTGCGCAACGGATCCCCGTACACTCACGGTTTTGTCCCAAATTCCCCACCGCTAAACAAGCCCGTGTTTGGAGGAATGGTATCAAGGAACGCCGCGCGTGGCGAAGTGAGGGGAACGGGAAGGGACAGTCCTCCCCCCACCCCGCACCTCTCCTCCCACCTTCACCCACCCCACTCACTTCCACTCATCGTCAGGCGAGCCAAAAACCCGAATCGATAAGTCGGAACGGCGAAAAAAATGAATCTATCCGATCGGCGGCAATGGGCAACATAGTCGGGAAAAATCGAATCGGCGGAAATCGGCAAGCTAGAAGGCCTCCGCTGGTAAATCGGAGATCCAAATCGGAATCCGAAAGCGAACCGGCTCGGAATCGAGAGCCATCGAAGTCGAAACGAGTCGAATTGGAGGACACGAGATGGGCCCTGCATCTTTCCCCCCCCTTGGCAACGCCCGAACGCTGGAGGAAGGGGGGGCCGCTCGGGGAGAACAAGAGCTCGAGCGGGGGCGGCAAATGGAGTACGTGGGGCAACGGGACCAAGAGGGAGGGTGGGCAGGAGGGCTAGGGGGCCTGGAAGGCAAGCCGCGCCACAGCTGACGCCCTGCCCGCTCCCCCCGGCGATGTCCACCGCGTTCTGCCTCCTCCTGTTCGCAAACTCCGGCGTCGAATCAAAGCGCCAAGGACCAAGCGAAAGAGGGGGGAGGGCGCAGCCTGGCCCTGATGATGCCAAGAGTGACCTCCTTAGGAAGCCCTGACGGATGGGAAATAAGGAGGAGAAGGAGAAGAGGAAGAACAAGAAGAAACATAAGAGGAAAGACAGAAGGCACAAAAGGATGCGGAACAGGCAAGAACCCAAGAGAAGAATCAGGAAGAAAAGGAGCAGGAACCTCAGGAGGAGGAGGAGAGGGAGGAAGAGCAGGACAACGACGAGGAGGAGGAGAAGGAGCACGAGGAAAGGGAAACTGTAATCGCGGGAGTTGGAAGCGAAAACGATCATGTAAGCGGTCCTTTTTTACTCTGTCAAAGATGCGTTCGCTCTGGCGATTGAGCCCAGATATCAGCGGGGCATCCCAAGTATCTGGGACGGGATTACGCCTGCAATCGAGCGGCTGTGGCGAAACGAAGGAACTGAGAAAGAGTGATAGTCAGAATTGTCCAACCCCCGCGCGCCTTCCCAATCCGTCTGGGATACCTGGCCGGCACCTGGGAGCGCGCGCCGAGCAGGCGGTGTGCGCACTCACTGACTGCACTCACAAGCATGCCCGCGCTCGCAGGAACGGCACCGGGCAGCTCACCTGAGCAGCGTGGAGTGGCAAGCCGAGCGCCGTGGCGGTGAGTGTTAGGGCCGTGCGTCGTTGTAGGGGCGACCGAAAATCTGAGCGAGGCTCGGCGACGAGGATGTGACCAGACCTTGGACGTGTAGAGGGGAGCGGGGACAAGGTGGAAATGTCCTTGGAGGCGTGCGGATGCTGATGATCCGCGCTGCGCCTCACCGCTGAATCCCTGTCCTCCTTTCCGCCGTCCTGGTAGACGAGCAACTCCTCGCCCTCGGCGCCTGCATCCGCTGCGGCCTCCGCAGCGTCTGCCTCCGGAGTGGTCGGCAGCACCTCCCCCTCCTCCTCCTCCTCCTCCTCCTCCTCCTCGCCCTCGGCTGACGCTGCCTTCTTCTTGTGCAAGGCGGCGCGAGCCTGGTCCCGCTTCTGATTGCTCTTGGGGCCCCCATCGGAGGGTCCGCTTGGGGGCCCTCTTGGGCCCGGCCGCGGGCGCCTCCGTCTTCTTGTCCTTGTCCACGCTGGCCTTGCTGACCTTGCTGCCCGCGCCGCTGGCGCCGTTCATGCCGTACTTGGACTACTGGTACTGAGCTTGGCCAACGCGTGCCCGGCCCCCTGCGGCGCGCCTGAAGCTAGGCGGCGGCCCCAACTAGTAGTCGACGAGGTACTGCTGCGCGCGCGCGTCAACGTCGAAGCGCCCATGCGCTAGCGCGGTGAATCCAAGTGACGGACCAAGTGGCTGTGGCGCCTGGGTGCCTGGATCTGGGCCAGCTGGCGGCGACGGCCTGATCTTCGGCTCGGGCGACCGAGAGCGCGACCGGCGGCCCTTGGCCCGGCTGCCCGAGGCCAGGAAGGGGCCCTCACCGATGCCAGGTCAGGGCGACCCGGCCACGTTCCTCCAGCGGCGGCATGCGAAGCGGCACCCGCGGGCTAGTGGATGGGTCCTATGCGCCACCAAGCGTTGGGCGAAGGCCGTGACCGCTGGCGACAGGGTTTCCCTCTCGACCGTGGGGCGCACGTCTGGGCCGAGGCTGCGCTGGCCGCTTGCGATGCTTACTTCGCGTCCACAAGCCACGCGAATCTGCGGTCCATGCATCCGCTGGTGAAGAATACGCGACGCCAGATGTGCTCTGCTTTGGGCCTGTTCAGGCGCCACTCGCAGCGGATGAACTCTCCGACCTCGACAGCGTCGAACCTTTCTCCTGGAGGGATGGCGCGCATCAACTTCTTCTGCGCGGTTTTCTGCAGCCGTCTTGTCGCGAGCCGCGCATGCGACGACCTCGTCGTCGCTGACCTCCTCGAACGCCTCCGGCGGCGGAGGCACAAGCGCGCGGGCCTTGCCCGGCGCGGCCATCCGCGGACCCGCTGGCCGAGGAGATGGCTGGGGCGACGCCGCGGGGCCGCGGGGCTGCGCTGCCGCTGCCGCGCATGGCTGGGCCGCGGCGGCGCCGGCGCGCGCGTGGAGGCGAAAGCAGCTGATCGTCCTCGCGGCAACGGCGGCTGGTGGTGATGGCGAAGGTTCGCTGCGTGCACGACGGGCACGCCGTTTCGACTCTGCCGATGGTGGTCCCAGGCCCCTCAGCCAGGGGCCTTTTGGGCGGTGGCATCATGGGTGGCATGCTTGGCGGGCGTACCATCGCGCCTGGCTTGCGAGGAGCGCCTCCAGCTAGCGCTCTACTCTGGCACCGTGGCGGTGGACTGGCGCTCGCTCCTGATGGCGATGAGGCCGGCCGCTGGGTCGCAGCGGCTGCCTTCTGGGGAGGCGTGGCCGCGCGCGCCGCCCTCTCGGGCGCGCGCGCAGGCCCCGTGAGAGCCAGACTGGCGCTGGCGCGCGCGCAGGCGCCCAGCGCCGCGCGCGCGGACCGCGCGGGGGCCGCTGGCGCAGTCCAAAGCGCAGGCGGCCGACGCGGCGCGCGGCCCGCGCGCTGAGCAGGCAAGAGGCCGCGGATGTTGCACACGTAGCCGCAAGTGCACATACACACATCGCATCGCGCACTGCTGCGCATGCTTTTCCACTCCCAACTGCACCGCTGCCGCTTCCATACAGTACCTGCCGTGCCACTCATCCTGGTCAAGAGAAGGCAATACTTACACGTTGGGCATGTCGATCATGGCCAAGGCAAAATCAGACATGGGACCTCCCAGTAAGAGATGAAGAAGGAGGTAGAGTTGGGACAGGCCAGACTGGAGCACGGCGGTCACACTGGTCACTGGTGATCATCACCATCAGAAGATTGACGAGCACGGCCTCATAGTGCGCTGAGCTTGCCCGCAGCGTTGAGGGTGACAGTATTTGGAGTGCGGCATCCCCTGCGGAACCCGCTGGAGAAAGGTGGAGTGCTGCGCGATGAACGCAGCCCCTCGTGAATATATCCGCAATCACGTCACGGTGCCCTCCCAGCTAAGGGCGGGCAGCTGGCCCGAGCAACGGCGCAAGAACGCCCCGAGACGGCCCAATGAGGCACCCAAGAGGCCCCAAGAGACAGTCGAAAACGCACTGGTAAGCCATGATATATGTTCCGCCTTAGGCGCTCCCATATCCCAGGCTTTGGCTCATATCGCATGAGCAAGAGAGCAAGACGAAGCATGGGATCTGGAGTAAAGGATAGAAGGGGCATCGTCAATGGAAAAGGTATTTTCCGATCTCAGATACAAGTCGCGCGCCTCAATGAGGCGCAATCACATATTAGGCCAGGCCCGGCTTGAGCCAGGCACGGCAGCGGTGCATGCTCGATATACATCTCGCCTTTAACCTTCTCCGTTTAAAGTCGGAGGGGGAAGAGACGAGCAGGCGCCGCATTTCTACATTACACGGAAAAACAGCGCTAGGCAACAGCGGCTGCCTACAAGGCAAGGGCGCGCGAGTAGCCTCGCTACCGGCGAGTTTCCTCGCTACTAGAGCGCACCTGCACGCGGGTTTCCCCGCTAGCTCGGGAGGCAGGGCCGTCCTGAGACGACCTGCCCGCCCTATGCGGAGTATGTTTCTTCAGCTCGTGCTTGAAGGATTGCTGGCCGGCCATTACTTGTAGGAGCAACGCGCGGTCAATACTACCTTTGGTATGACCATCGGCAGTCATATCCCGCGTGTCACACCATTGAACGCTTTCAACGATTCCGCGCTCCATCATCTGGCGGATCCAGCTAATGTGCCCAAGCAGAGTACATTCTGTGGGCTTCTTCAGATCTTTGCTAGACAAAGACTTGAAGACAGACTCGGCATCAATAGTCAGAGTGACTTTGATACATAGACCACCCATTTCCAATATGTTCTTTAACTGTGTGGGGGTCAATGGTCCCGAGTGTAGCTCGTGGAGCGTTACAATGGTCGGGTAGCAGTCTTCCAAGTTGTGGGCTGCTGCCAGTGTTTCCGCAGAGTAGCTCGAACGCACCTGCAGTCGATGAGACTTGCAGTATGCGTCCACCAGGTGCACGACGGGTTTCCCCGCTTGCGTGTGGCCACGCCTCAGCAGGTTAGCCCCGCGGATACCGTAACCTTTGACTT